AGTTGTTTTTCTCTTTTAAAGTAAATCTAGCTCATTATTTTTCTCAGTAAATTGCAGGGGTTAGGAACTATTGCTGTTCTAAAAAATGAAATAAGAATGTTGGCAAATACGATTTTTGTAACCCCAGACGAATAAAATTGAAGCTGGCCTATCTCCTGAGATGACCAACCAGGATTGTTGTGTGTGTGATTTTTTTAAATACCAAGATTATTTTCTTTGAACCTAGAAAGAGTCATAAGACAACATTTTTCAAATGAATATATGTATGGAAGAAATAATTATCCAATAGATGACACCATAATGTCAGTATAATCTCTTATTTGTTTTTTTAATAGTTTAAAAAATATTTTTATTGATTTCAGAGAGAGGAAGGGAGAAGAGTAGAGAGACACATCAATGATGATGAGAGAGAATCATTGATCAGTGGCCTCCTGCAGGCCCCCTCCTGAGGATGGAGCCCACTATCCAGCATGTGCCCTGACCAAGAATCAAACCCTGACCTCCTCGTTCATGGGTCAGTGCTCAACCACTGAGCCACATCAGACAGACACTATAATCTCTTTTTAAGGTGGAGATCGGGATTGGGGGTAGGGAGCTATCCCTTAATTTTATGGATATGTTAATTCTAGTATGGATTTTTATTAAAATACTAGAGGCCTGGTGCACGAAATTTGTGCATAGGGATGTGTGTCCCTAAGCCCAGCCTGCACCCTCTCCAATCTGGGACATCCCTCTCACAATCTAGGACTGCTGGCTCCCAAATGCTCATCTGCTTGCCTTCCTGATTGCCCCGATTCGTTTCTGCCTGCCAGCCTGATCACTCCCTAACCACTTCCCTGACAGCCTGATTGATGCCTAACTGCTTTCCTGCCAGCCTATTTGCCCCTTACTGCCCTCCCCTGCAAGCCTAGGTCCCCCCCCAACTGCCCTTCCCTTCAGGCCCAGTCACGCCCAACTTCCCTCCTTTGCTGGCCTGGTCACCCCTAACTGCCCTCCCCTGCAGGCTTGATTGCCCCCAACTGCCCTCCCTTGTAGCCTGGACCTTCCCATCTGCCCTTCCCTGCTGGCCATCTTGTGGTGGCCATCTTGTGTGTTGGAGTGATGGTCAATTTGCATATTACTCTTTTATTAGATAGGATTATTTTTTTCCTCATATTAAGAGTAAGATAAAGATATTGTCTTGGAGCAGTTTGTGCAAATGCCAGTAAGTATTTCCTGGGGAATTACCCAGCAAAAACGTTCCAGTGGCCTCATAGTCATTCTGTACCATTATAAAGATGTCCACATCACCTGCCCTGACCACAGGCAGCTCTCAGAAGAGCCTTAGCAAAGTGACTGAGATTATGTTTGTGAGTCCCAAAGTTTGATTTTATGCCACTGGTTTTTGTTTAATCCTTTCCAGATGCAGCCCTTTCTAAATGGCCTAAAGTGAATTGTGTAATTATACACACAGAGTTATCCCAATAACTTTCCTGTCAGCTTTTGTGTTAATTCAGTAGACACATTTTTAATGAATGCTACATTCTCGAGTGTTTTTCCATACTTTGGGAATAAAGCAATTTAGTCCTGGCTCCTACGGAGCTCACAGCCCACTCGGGAGACATATGCTAAGCAGGCTATCAAGTAAACATGTCAAATATGTCAGATGGAAGTAGGTATGTGGAAGAAAATAACAGAAGAAGGGGAATAAAGAATGTCTAAGGTAGAGAATTGGAGTACTGATCCCCCCCCCCCAAAAAAAATCAGTTTTTTCATGGCATTTAGAGGTTCTTTGCACTAAAATTATTCAGTCTCCTCTCTTTGGTGTTATATTTATAATAACAATATACAACTTTCAGTGGTTGCTTTACTGATCTAGCTTTATTCCCTGCTCCAGCCCTTCTCCCACCCCCAAACCAGGATCGGGGGTTTTTACAGTCATCATGAGCAGAAGCCAGATTCCTTCCCATCTCTTTCCCTCTGCTCATGCAGTTTCTTCCAGGAATGTTCTGCCTTCCTATTCTATTAACCTAATGGTACTCATCACTTAATACATTGCTCAAGCTCTATTTGACTTCTCTCTTTTTTTCTTTCTGAATTCCCATAAGATCTAGAGCCACAAACTCTATTCCTAATTATACAGCTGTGTACGGTCTTTTTAAAAATTAGTTTTATGTGTAATAGTCTTCTCGTCTAGTTATGATGGAATCTATAGAACCATCAGGGACTTACCCTTGAACTACACCCCACAGGTCTTCTTGAAATGCTAGGAGGCAACATGGGTACCCACATAATGTGGATGAAATATTCATTCCAGCTGCAGCTTCGTAAATGTAAATCTACTCACCAGATTTCTTTTTACCTTTTCTTTTACTTTCTAGAGTTAAAATATATTTTATTTAATAAGCGGATGGAGTTATCATTCAGTGATTTATAAGGAGAACTTGAATATCATTTGTTTTCTGCATCGAGTGAGAGGACAAAATACTCTTAAATGAAAATAATAAATAAGTTAAATATCGAGATATGTGTTTTATTGCTTCAGATGTATTACTTTCATAAAATCATAAAAGGAATGTGATAGCTGAGTTTATTTTTTGTTGAGTGCTATAGCAATAGAAGCAAATGGATCTGAATTTAAATCTAACATAAATCTAAAAAAAAAAATTTAACATAAATCTCATAGTGAGAACACAAGATACCGCTCTTATTATGTTTTCCCATCCCATCTCCTAACAAGGGAGGTAATAATTGGATTAATGGGTCATGAAGACTATGTAACTAAGTATAGGAAATTGGTCTGTAAAAACCTTAAGAGTTCCTGAGCTAGTGTTGGGGTTCCTTGTGGAGCCCCCCCCTTCAGGTCACAGACCCATGGGTTTTTGCAGACCCATTTCACAGTGCATGTTTCTCCCATAGAGCATTCCAATAAAGATTGTCTTAAACCGAAATGGCACATAGAGTGAGTCAACACTTACCATTGACTTATATGTCCTTATTTCGTTGACCACGATTGAAGATCTTAATTTATGCATTGTTTCATGCTCATCATTTCAATCCTACAAGCTCTCTTGGCTTTTCTTATACCTTAGGACACACCTTGCTAACGGATGCACAGAATAAATGGAGATACACAGCACCGATGCTCTCAGACATAGTTCAGTGCTGTGGGGCTGAACGAGTGGTTCAGTGGTTCAGCATCTCAGTGGTGCTGAGATGCTGGGTCTGGGTCCCAGGGAAGGAGCTTGGTGGGACGACTCTATCTGTTTGGAGTTTGTGCTGCTTCTGAAACAGCTCATTGCAAAACCAACACTGAATGCTACTTTTGTGAAAACCCTCTTCAGATTTCTTTTCATTAGCAAACTAGGTGCTACTAATGTAGGTCTTTTGTAAAAGAGAAGTGGCATGCAGACTTTCAAAAATGGGGACATACCTATATTAGATTTTATGGATGGCTTCTCCTTTTGAAAAGCCTAGAGTTAGATTTAATAAATATTAAGGTCTTTGTGGATGGTACAGCAAGAAATAAGTGACCACTCATTCAAAGAACCAAGGTCTCTCATCCTTTCTACTTAGAGGATACCAACTAATGATGCTTACGTTCAACAGACTTAAATTTTTTTACTCGAATACCCTTGAAAAGAACTTTGAGAAACTGAATACCACTCACTCATTCTTAAATGGATACCTTAAGGTTTTCAGTGTTAGGTTTAATTCAAGTACTTTTGTAAAAAGTGTGTAGAAAATATTGAATGCTACATAAAATGGAGATTGACCACAAATAGGATCAGTATTTCATGTGATTAAGAGATTCAACCTCACTGGCCTATAAATAGCCCCTTTGAAAAGTCCTGAATTCAGAACACAGTTTAGGCCCAATTACCCTGCTTCTCGTGGTATGGTTAGACTATATTAGGATATGGATAAGACAGAGGACAAGAAACATTGTGAATTTAATCACCAATTTATAAATCGTGTTTGGCCTCGCTGAGTCTTTTACACCCCAGAGTAGGTACCATGGTAGGTTTGAGATAGCAACATGTGCAAACAGCCTTCATTTCAGACAGACACGTTTTAGAAAGGATTCGTGGGAAAGTTGAGGAACTGGATATTTTATTTCCCAAAGTTGTCTGTGAATATTTATTTCTTAGAAAGTCTTTATTTGAGGTTCAAAGACTGCTGTGATAGATATTTGAACAAGTAGCCAAAACAAACAGATGTGCTGGCCCCTTTGGCTTTACATGCAAACAGTAAAGGAAGCCAGCATGCTAAAGGTGGGGCTTCCATCTCTTTGATGGGAAGAGATGTTTTTATACACGTCTTCACTGTTGATATAGAAACAATTTCAAGTGGAATTAATATAACTAAAAGCTCAGTCCAATGAAGCATAAAATATACTGTGCATGTTTGAATTTTGGAAATATCTCAAAAATGTGCCTATAAAAAGTCTCATTTGCTAGTTTAGTGAATTTTAATTTATTTCATTTTATAAACTTATGAGGATTTGGGCAATTATACCTTAGGATTGTCATTTTAAAATAACATGATCGTTTATAAATGTGTACAGTAACACAAAAAGAAGTGTGTTTTGCGAATAAAATTTTATTTGTTAGAAAATTTCTTTTTACTGTTGTATGTGGTTATTCCAAAGACTTCCTTTCGCTGAGCAACCTTACAAATTCAAGTTTTCCTAAATGTCGCACATTTTTCCTAAAACAAAGGCAGCCTCTGATCTCACTCTTTCCACACACCTTCACGCACTCAGCTAGGTGCTAATGATACAAGACGCTCATTTTTATTGCAAAGGGCCACCATACCTTTGTCTAGCTCATCATTTGTAAATATAGCAATTGGCTATTACAGTGCCACAGGTATATAAATAACATTTATCAGTCATCACTGTAAAATTGATTCCTTCTTTCCCTTTTCATTATAAAAGGAAACTTTATTTCAGAGTAGAAAGTGCATTGTCTGAACTCATCAACACCCTCTCTATCCCTCCCCTCCCCAATTTGTTGCAGACCAGGATGAAAGAGCAGCTGAGCTCAGCAGAGAGCAGAATGAGAAAACCATCCGGAGCACGCAGACCGCGCTCCGCAATTTCCGCGAGTTCCTCATCTCCAAGTACCCTTCGGAGACAAGAGAGATCTATGTCATCCCTTGCAAGGAGTTGGATGCCTACCTTGCCTCTTTCTTTGTAGATGCCAGGCAGAAAGACGGGTCCGAATATGAGCCCAACAGCTTGGCCAACTACCAGTGTGGGCTTGAACGGTACCTAAAAGAGCACAGGTACGGCTACAGTATCACCAGGGACAAGGAATTCAAGCGTTCCCAGGAGGCCCTGAAGCAGAAGCAGATCGAACTCCGCTGCAAAGGAAAGGGAAATAAGCCGCACAAGTCCATGAAGCTCACCTTCGCCGATGAGCTCATCCTGCGGAAAAGGGGGCTGCTGAGCCGCTATAACCCCGAGGGTCTGCTCAACCTCGTCTGGCTCAACAACACCAAGGCTTTCGGGCATTGCACAGGCTTCCACGGATCGACCTTGAAGTGGGGTGACATCCGGCTGCGGGTCACGGAAACGGGGCTGGAATACTTAGAGTGGATGGGTCAGGACACCGGCGGCGACCTGAATGCCAAGACCAAGAGAGGGGGCACGGACTCCCGCGTGTATGCCACCCAGCACGCCCCACAGACGTGCCCCGTCCAGGACTACAAGGAGTATGCCCAGCGGCGGCCCCCGGCCATGCGCTACGAGGATGCCCCTTTCTACCTGTCCATCAAGCCGGTCGTGAACTTGGCGGCTCTGCATTGGTACAACTGCCAGGCCCTCGGCAAGAACAAGCTGGCCAAGATGGTGAAGACCATGTGTGAGAAGGGCAACATCCCCGGCAGGAAAACCAACTTCAGCGTGTATCAGAGCTGCAGCACCCTGTCCGAGGCCCAGAGCAACCAGCTGGTGCTGATCTGTAACAATCTGAGCCAGCAGGCCGCCCAGTCCGTGGCCGGGCACTCCAGCAGCAGCAATTTCATCGTCTCGGCCTCCTACGACTCCTCCTCAGACACCGCTTGACCAGGTGGCCTGAGCTAGACCCCGGTGTGGTTACTGGGACCAGAGAAACTGTGACCGTACACTGCTTCTCCCTTTTCCTCTGCCCTCAAGTGTTAACTTTATAAAAATACATAATATATTTTTCTTTTTACAAGTAAGCAAGGGAGATAGTTTAGTATGACTAACATAGTATTTATAGGCTCGAAACAAATGTACCTGTGGGTGATTACATGTGATTACTGTTAACAGAACTTTTACAAAACCATCGTGGTTCTCAGGCAACACAAAGTAGAGAAGGAATGAACGTTTTTCAAAAAACTGTCGAAAAGGAAACAGAGTCATCCTAGACGCTTGTGTCCTCAACTCCTGCTTCCCCACCCCCACCCCCACCGCTCATTGTTAGTCTCCTTAATAAATGACTTTATTTTTTTATTTTTCAATATTCTCTGTTAATCAGGAGGAGATAACACTAACTTTACTGCTTACACAAAATTGCATTCAGTCAGATGCAGAATATGAAAGTGTTGATAATAAACTCAACAGTAAATTATTTATATATTTTTTTAATTTTTATTTTTTGCTTAATTAGAATTTTAGTTTCTGTGCCTCGTTTTTTTTGTTTGTTTTTTTTGCAATGTATGAAAACTTAGAAGCTTAGCTAACATTTTTTTTCCTTTGGGGGAACAAGGGGAATAGAAGGAGGGAATAAAGGTGCCATTCATTTTGGAACATATAGAATTTTAAAATAATATGCAAAATCTAATATTGCAGCAAAAAAGACTGTTACATGGCTCATTTTTACTGTTATGCTTAAGCCTGGATAGGATCCTTTTGGTTCCCTAGGAAATCAGTGTAAATGAAATTTGATGATCAGATTTAGACTCAATTTAAAACGACCGAAGCTTTGACAACGTTCCCAAGTATTATATTGTATATCAAGCATAAGGAGAAGGTAGAGAGTGGGAAAGTCTTACTACAGATCCAGAAGCCCTAGTTAAGATAACTACAACAACAACAAAAAAAACACCCTTATTCTCTTCAAAGCTCAAATCCCTCTTGAATTATTTATTTATAAGCATTAAACTTCACTATTTTTTCCGTAGGGAATTACTGTACTCTGTAGCTGAGATCAAAGGAATATCCACACTCATTTTAGGTAGCAGATTTAGCTGAATTCAAAGCATTCTTGAAAATGTGCAAAATTTCATCTACAGTAAATACAAATGCATTTATCTGCAATGTCCTGCAATTATAATAATAACAATTTTGGTTAAACAGTTCTTTGTGGTAGTTTTTCCAAGATCTTTATTTTCAAGTCTTGAAGCCTGTGGTAAATAATTAGGTACTTCAAAAATAAAATCAATTTAAACAGTAAAGTTGAACTAGGTTTCTATCCTATATAATTACTAACATTAAAAAAAAAAAATTCAAATCTTAATTGCTTTGTTGGATCTGGGAATGCTATTAGGGAGTATTTGTTCTTTGAGGCAACCTTCTAATTCAGTTAGCTGGGAAGATAGGTGGTATTTTATGCATTAATTTATTGTATGACCAGGACAAATCTCGTTTTGATTTGCTTTCCTGAGCTTTCCCATGGTTAGACAGCTCTTTCCAGCGCTAAGTCACAAGCACGTGAAGATCCACCTATTCCTCCAAACTGTGACCTCTCCATGGGCTCAGGAGTGGGAAGTCTGTCATCAACTTCTTTTCCTCCACAGAGAGGCATCCAGAAACAAGAAGGGCAGATGATACCTTGCTTTATTTTTTTTGTATTAATAATGCTGATTAGGCACCCATTTTAATCCATCATGTGTGCCAGCACTGTGCTAAGTGACTTGTGTGCATCCGTTACACAAGAAGTAGTTACTCATTCTATGAAAATTAGGAAATACAGATATGCATTTTATATCTATCTGTATAGTCTGCTAGCCAAAAGTAATCACTGTTAACATTTTTGGTAAATATTTCCTCAGACATTTCAACGGAAGCATATTTATTTGTATGTTTATTATCTTAATCCTTGCAACAGCTTTGAAAGGTAGGTGAGTTGGCTTCATTTTATGTTGCGATCAGACAAGTCAGTTAGATGATTGCTGAGGAAATGGTACTGTCTGTCACCGGACTCTAGAGTTTTTCCGTTTACCTTTTTTAGTTCCAACTCTTCGTTTCCAGTGACTTGAGTCAGACATGGGGACACAGTGTCTTCCCAGCCTTAGGAGTGCTGAGTTACCTTTCCGGGAGGCATGCTCTGTCCCCTGGTCCCTCCTCTTCCGTTCGTTTTGAACCTCGGGTCTCTTTCTCCCAGTTCCCTTTACAAAACAGTTATTCTATAACTGGTCCACAAACACAACAGGACAGCCTACTGTAAAATAACTTTTTTAAAAATATGGATATTTTTACATAGGGTGCTCCTCATATTTAAGGAAATGTTTTCTGTAAAGAACAGTTAAAATGTGATTGCACATCTTATTTTTGCATTAACGTATTTTTTAAAAATTCTTGATCTGTTTTAGACAGCAAAGTAAGTTTGTCACGAGAAGAAGGGGTGGTCAGGATCCACTGAGAAAACAGAACTAGGAAATTTCAATTTTCTATTTGTGTTGATTGAGGTATTAATATTAAAACCTCTCTCTTGTTTAATCCTATTGTGTTTGCATTTAGGAGAACACAGTTAAATGGAGCATGTCAGTTGTTGTTTTAATTTATTTTTGCTTTGATAACTGAAACCAAACAGGAATTGTGTGGCAGGTTTAGAAGACTGTTTTCAGAAGAACGGCTTAATAGACAGAGAACCCAAGTAGTATCTTGGCTATAGGGCTGGTCTGAATATGACTCATAGATTCACATCATAATCTGAGTTAAATTATGAAAAATTATCTGCAACTACCTCTACATTTTATGCTTTTGTATAAATAATACTGAGGACATAACACTGCCAGGTGCCATTTTTTATTGTTACTGTTACTTAAAAAAAATTATATCCATACTGTGACATTTCAGCCAAAATAGTTTATGTGCTCTAGCAAAAGTGCAGCCAGCTATCTAGCAGGTATTCACTACAATAGAGCATGCTGCTTTGCAGGTGATCCCATGGTTCATATAAAGACACTAACACTTTATTTAACAGTTTAAGGTCAGTGTAATATCATATAAGAAATTTTCCAGTCCCTCTCACATGAGTCTAACAAATATGCCACGCCCACCTATCAGTTTGGATGACATAGCTGCCTAATTCATTTTTCTATATTCATGTGAGTGATGGGCTATTAAAAACAATAGGTGGTAGCAAGTATTTTTTGTTTGTTTGTTTGTTTGTTTGTTTTTTAATTATAAATCTCAGCAAGGGAGGAACATGGATGTGAGAAAGAAGCATTGATCTGTTGCCTTCTCTCCATGCCCGACAGGGGATTGAACCTGCAGCCTGGGTATGTTCCCCAACCAGAAATCAAACTTAAGACCTTTTGATGCCCAAGATGGTGCTCCAACCACTTGAGCCACACTGGTCAGGGCTGTAGCGAATTAACGAGTTCTTAGTTATTTTAATGTATTTTTAAATATGCAAGATATATCTGTGCACATTCACTACATGGTGTGATACAGATAGTTACTTATTAAGAAACACACCACTTCCAATCTTCAATTAAGACATCTTCAATTGTGTTGTGTGCTTTTTCTTAATTCATGTTATTCAAACATTGCTTCTCCCCAGTAGGATCTGACTGAGATGATACGAATATGTAGCTCTTGTAGAATAGGTAGAACCTTAGGATGATTTTAAGAGATCCTTGCCATAGTATATAACCTGGGATGAAGAAATACACTGCTTATGTCATCCTGTTGGTGTATTTCTAACGATAGAAAAAACAGAAGAAGAGAGGGTATTGGTAAATTGCCAACAACTCAGATCTCACTCTTCTAAACAGAGGAAAGAAAGATGATAAACATTTCTTATGGTCCTCCCTGTAAATTGACCAATTGGGTCTGCCAAAGCTAAGGAAAAGACCTGATTATTTTTTAAAAGGTTGCATTTTAATACATTTAAATTGAATTCCTATG